CTTTCACCCCTTTATATTCTCACACAATAGATCAAATCTCAAATCTTACCCTACTGAATGAACCTTGTTTTGCCGATCATAACCACTCTCAATAAAAACTATTCATTCCAATTCTACAATTTCAGGACCAAACCCAATGCTCAACAGACAAAAACCACCTAAGTTACCTTCAGCTGTCCAAACTAAACATATACGCCCTGTACGAACTCGAAATAAATACCCTCGTCTTCTTCCACTCAGTTAAAACTACCGAGGTATAAAACAAAAAAACTCTTCTCCACCACACACCCTCCATCTGGGCTCCTACTACAGATAGATAGGTAGATTTATGGCAGAAAAAAAGAATTTTTAAAGCGGTGCTCTCCCTCGGGGAATCGAACCCCGGTCTCCCGCGCTTGTTATTCCAATTCGAAATTGACAAGCGGAAATCATGACCACTAGACCAAGGAAGACTTAATACTTGATGTTAAAATTTTGAAATAATTTATTTATAACTACTATTTTTATTTTTCATATTCAGTGTTCCAGGCTCTGCCTTTTGATTTCCTAACCTCTCTCATTTGAATTCTAGGTGTTACATTTTGATTTCTCGACATTGGTGGTGCTAGGTTCGCGTAATAAAAATACCGAGGTATGGAAGACCTGACGAGTTTGGTAATGCGGGTATTCGCTTTCTAGGCGAAAGTGTAATAGGGAAATCACAAAAATGAAAGCAGAAATCTGACAAAGTCCCGCTTCGCCAACGCGTTAACCTCTTGCACATTGAGCGAGTAAGCCTCGCTCTCATTCTAGCCCAACGTAGCTTCTACTATAAAGATAGCCCTCGTATTTAGAATACAAATCCTCTGTCCTCTCTTGCTTAGACTAAGACCTCTACCTGCACGATTCCTTCTCCTTACTTCCTCTCGTTGTTCCCTCCCTTCGTTCCTCCGCTTCCGGGATTTACTTACCTTCTTGTTCGTTATGCATATTTTAGAAGATATTGCCCTTCTAACAGCTGGAGAGGAACCAAAACCTACCTTGGGATAGAGTGCAGGCTCTTGTGAAAAGGAAGCGGTAGTCCGATTGCTGAGAACAGAGGATGAGTAAGTCTGCAATGAAGGCTATAACTCCAATGTCTATTCTGATCTTGGCTGAATTCTCCGTCTATCTGCCAAAAAAAAAAAGCACAAACATGCCTTTTCAATCAGTACCTCCATTCAATTGGATCGAATCATACGTAAAATGGGGCGCCCGAATAACACAAGGATGAATTGTGGGTAAAGCCAGCATCAAAAGTTTGAAAAAAGAGTTTACCCAGATTCGTCGAATCGTGAAGCTAAGGCTAGACCATTAAATAGTAGGCTCGAAGTAGACGTAATAGTAGCAGTAACGGCCTGGACCGCATGATCAGTAGACATTTACTCAATTTTCTAGTAGTTATAGCAAAAAACTGCCAGAACAGGAAGGCATCTCTGTCCGGATACGAGCACAATCTATAGCCTCTTGTGTGAACATGGAAGAGATGTTATACTTCCTCTGGTGCTGTGATGGATGGTCTTTTGAGCACGAGCACCCCCGAATACCCATTTAAGTATTCTTCTACCTGTTGCTCACTGGATTCTAGAGTGTACGGCCTGTCAAAATATTGCAATCAACTGCCCATGGCGAATTCAATGAAGGTCTTAAATAGGGAGACGTAGAGTTATCCCTGATTCGCCGTAAGGGTCAGTTACGCTATCGGCTGAAAGCCGCCTTCAGTAGACGCTTCGAAATGTCCAACCTGAGGGAGTGTGCCCTTCTATCTTGGGATGGAAATCAAGCGTGACAGAGGTCACAAGACCCTAAGTATCTCGGCGTACCTATTTCGAGGAGGTCCTTACGGGCTTCCAAATGGCGGATGCATAGCCCGTCGCCGCTCCAACTAACACGCCAAAAATGACTCCTGCCGCCAAACAGACTCCATCTATGCAGAAGCCCGACCCTGGTGCGCTTACACAATTGAATCACCCATGTATGTCCTACTTAATACTCCACCTGACTTAGTCTATGTCTTCTCATACCTAAGCAGGTTCAGGGCTAAATCGATGCCCGCCCAGGTCAAGGCTGTGAAACGAGTGTTCTACTATTTGAATGGAACTCGGGGCCTTGAGTTTGTGCATAGGAAGGAGCTGAAACTCCTTACGAGCCCCACTAACGTGGATTGCGCTGAAGATCTCGAGAGTCGCCGGAAACCCTTACAGGCGTGGGTGTGTGGCATTTACCACCAAAGAACGACATCCGATGTGTCTAAGGCATGGATTTCAATGTCTTAATTCCCGAGAGGAGCAGTATTGAGGCCTCTCATGAGGCGAAGTAAACTTTTCGTTCTGGATTTAGGACAGAGGGTAGCAGGCTTGCTTATTGGCTATATCATGAACCTTAGTTTTACTACAGAAATAGCGAACAAGAGCGGAAGCAACAAAACCTGCTGTAAGCCGAGACCGTATATGGTCGGAGCAACTTACTGCCGACTTGGTACACAATACATGTATATATACTTAACAGTTTATTAGACCTCATGAACAAGCACGATATCATCACTATCCCAATACCGTCCGTTGACTATCCAGGTTTTACCTCAGGCTGCTTACATCTGCTGTTGGACCTCACCACTGCCTGATGAAATCTAAAAGCCAACAAGTGGAACCCTATGGGTGTTCTCCAGGGGTTAGCTTCATCTGGTAATAATTTCGGATTTCAAGGATCCTATGCCGAGATCGATTATCTCTGACAAGACAGAAAACCGGATTCCGGATATGCAACGACGATGTTACAAAGAAATGGACCATTTTAGAAGATATCCTATCAATTTGGTGTAGTCTCGTTAGTTGCTATTATGGTAAGTTTGATTCTAATATCCTGATGTGGCTGGGTCTGTTTTGGTATCATTTGCTATCCACTTGGCGGAATAGCAGAGTGGTAGAGCGGAAGAGACGTACCGGCTTATCTTCTGCATAAGTAGGCTTGCATGTTTAACTAGAGTAACGAAATGATAGATAGCTCCTGTGAGTAATCCTAATATGAAAGACAACGCCTGTGGTATTGGAGAGTACGCATACCATAACCACCATACGCAGGTGGATAATGGACGCCCCGGATGAGATCCATAGCTGCCGACCTGCTTTCAGTCAGAGTTATTCGTGACAGGCAACTGAATAAATTCCAAGCATAGACATATCGCATCGAATGCGAGAATGGCAGGAAGAAGAAAGTCACAGGGCATGTGATTCTTCCACTTGGGTTCATCTCTTCAACCAAAATCTTCTTTTTTCTCTGGTAATAATCAGCAATTGTTCTATAGAATATAGGACAGAACCTGCTTACATAGAACCTTCATCGCCGCGTCTGAATTTATATTCCTTAATAGGACTGATAGCTGAATGATACCCTTCAGGCTAATCCAGCGCTGAGTATGCCGTCCACGTAAATGGCGACGTAAACATGACCTTTTGAGAAGATACCAAGATCTGATGTAAGAGGACGGAATCCCAATCCCTTTAGGAAGGTGGCGAGAGTGTTGTATCAGATTTGGGGGGCCAGTTTAAGCCATAGAGGGCTTCATTTAGGTAACAGACCTTTCTAGTAAACTCAGTGGCTATAAACTCCGAAGGCTGATCAACATAGGTTTTTTCCATCACCTCTTCCTACTGTCACGGTGTTGCGTGAGAGAAGGTCAATCGTTATATTGATTATCCAGGTAGCTAACTCTATGAGAAGAAAAGGGTTAGAGAAGGAAAAGGATTAGAGAAGAAGAATCAGGAAGTGGTGGGCAGCAAGTCCTAGGTAGGTGTCCTCCGCGCACTAGTGACTAAGCGACTCAACAGAGTTGCTGGCCACTCACGTGCTCATCATTCACTACGAAGTGGTTCAACCTACCCAAGACAATCCACCCAACCTATGCAAGCATGTGAGCTTTTACCACAAGTCAAGACAAGATGGCGTCTCATGAGACTGATTACCCCGCCTCAAATCCGACGAGCTTGGTATAAGTGATGAATTGCTTCTCCAATCCACACAGCAAGCCAATAAATTTATGGAAAAAGGAGTCGCGTTGGCGAACAGAACTGGTTAGATTGAGAACACTTTGCCAGCGACTATAACGCAAGCCAAAAGAGCTACAAAAGTCAGTTGCAGAAAATAAATAAATCTAATCGTGAACTATGGTGGTAACCACGTTTCAAAGGTTACACTAAAACGAACAGATACTAGGCCTCAATAGAGGAGTGAAACATAAAGAACAAGGCTCGATAAATGAAAATGGGGGAAGCAGAAGAAGGAAACGGGAAACGAGATATGGGGGAAGGAAAGCTGGATGCGAAATCAGCTAGATCGAAAGAAAGACAGAATCTCACTACTAAGTGATACTTATCTATCCTATCCGTATATAGCTTACTGGTGAAAGCATCGAATCTGTTTCGAACGCCATACCAACGCTGAAGCTATAAGGGGCTGACGGCCTGGTAAGATCCCCATTGGTGAAATCTGTTCAGAAGTGCTGGAAGATTCCTACGTGTTCAGGAATTACCAAGGTTATTAATTAGTAGCAACCATTTCAGTGTGGATAAACATGTATATAAAACCTCGAAGCTGTTTTGCAGCTTCAATTCCTACTGAATACAAGTTTGTTAAACCCTAGCCTCGATTCCCTTGCATACCCTCTAGGCCCAAGCCCCTTACAGAAGCTTTGCACCTCTGATATATATGCCCTATTAAAAACAAAGGGAATATATTTCTCGAGAGGTTGACATGAAATCACCTCCAACTCAGGTCTCCAGCTCTTAATGCGCCGAGTCCACGAGACCCCTCATATTCCTCGACTGCCAAAGCTAAAAAAAATTCTAGAAACAACCTTTTAGTCCACACCAACACTCCCTCAACCTTCCCCCCCAACTCTACGTTCGTTACTTCCTCACCCCAACCAAGCCTGCAACGCCCCCAAAACCAACCCACCCAAACCCACCGCCCACCCCGCCACCCCAAACGCCCCCTGCAAATCCCCCGTTCCAACTCCCCAAGCCACCGCAAAAATTACACTCCCGAACCCAAATCCTGCCAACACCAACCCCCAGACCCTTTCTACCAAGAAACCTTCCACTAAGTTTATACCCCAGCCAACTCCATAGTCGAGGCGGGAGCGGCGCTTTGGGGCACGTAGGTAGGTGATGAGCTCGCCATCGTAGTCGGAGGGGTGCTTGAAGAGATGCAGCAGGTAGGTTGAGCCGACGGGCGGGAGGAGGTCGACGGGCGCGAAATCGTAGGACGAGTTTTCTTTTGTGGTGCTAGGGGGCATAGAAGGGGAGGCGCGGATGTCAGCGAAACGGTTGCGGTGGATTTCAAACTATGAGGCGGTGCGTTAGTACGCGAGATCAAAAAGGAGGTTGATACAAGGGAGCAAAAAATGGGCTGGGCCGGCTTGATATTTATGGAGGTG